CACAATCAGTACATTTCTCGGCACTTTAAACTTAACTACTTTTATAATACATGCTATAAATCACAGTGATTCACAATCTCACACTAGCTCGAAACAGAATCGTAAATTACCCGGAACTCTCTTCATTCATTCCCACAGGCTTTCACTGCCAGGCTTATATACTAAAAAAGAGGGCATCTCGAACCAACTCAGGCCTCCCTGATCATTCGAGAAATTAATCAAGTCACCAGCGTCACGCGACTTCCGCTGTCGTAACAATATATGTGTGTGTGTATTTAAGACAGATAGCACATTTTAACATCTGTTCTTTAAAAAAAAACATTAAACAACTATTTCACATTTTATACTAACAGCCTGAAACTAAACAAAACACTTTAGAGATTGTTTGTTTGTTTGAACTTATGCACTAAGCTACATAATGCTCTGCTCACTATGGGTATCGAAACCCAGTTTCAAGCATGTTAGCCTGCAGACATACCGCTGTGCCATTGGGGAGGAGGAGGATAGTGCACACTTGAGAGTGAACAAATGCATATTTTTTAAAATAAAATTAAAGGTACTACAAAAATAGTTTCTGTAGAACAACAAAACATGTCTTGCACCATGTTCAAATTCTCCTGTTTTATTCTACTTTCACAACAACAAAAATATTAATAAGGTCAATTTATTAAAATGTATAGATTAAAAGTGCAATATAAAATAATTGCACAGCACAAAACTACTGTTTTTAATATTTTTGAAATAATTATTGAAATCTTATTTTCTGGGTGCCTAGGCAGAAAAATTACCAAAGGGCAAAGCAATAACCTGTTAATGAAATTAACTTCTTTATCAAGATTAAAAAATAAATTATGTATTAAGTAAACGCTCAACATATGTTTTTCTCTTCTTAATCCTTTTCTTACCTACAAACATTTGAAGAGTAGCAAAAAATGCCTCATAGGAACTAAGAAATGGTTACATACCATCTACATTAAAATTTTTCAGTTTTAAGTGTTGAATCAATGATGGCATTAGTTGAAGTTCAAAGACCCGCTGGCTCCCACAGGCTTGACATGGCAGGGGCTGTTTAATTCCACTAGAAGGTTCAGTTACATAAAGAGGGTCACCTTCCCAACAGTACCTATAAAATATTACAAAAAAAAATCTTGTCATAAAAAATTCTTATATCAAAAAAAAAACAAACAAAAAAATAGGATATTTTTAAACCTTTTTTCACACTTAAGGCATTTTCGATTAGATATCATAACTTTTTGTCAATACAGACCAACAAACCACAGCAAGTAAGAAACTGATGCTCAATAGTAACCCACATTAGCTTTAGGATCACAACCCTATTATTTGGAACAGACTCTTACTTCTACATAACCAACCGGATTCTTTAAAGTATATGGTGTTAATTTTTCTTCTGTAAAACAGTGTTATTAGCTTCCTTTATAGTAACACCGTGGAATTTAGAATAACACTTTCTTGTCATCACCCCCATGCAATCTGTACAGCCGTATCAAGCATCATTATGTATGCTAATTGGTTAAGCTAATACCAAGTGACACTAAATGATCTTTAATTAGGATAATTTCTATAAAATTGTAGTAAATTTGTGCTGAAAAGTTGGTAATGAATAATCACTAATAACCATCGACCCATATCATTCTTTTGAAAAC